GTCACCAAAGTAAGATTCTATGGTCTGACTCTTTTTGAGCTGTTTGCTCATTTCCCCAGCTAATTAGTTGAGTTTCAAACTTTTTGTTAAGGTACGGATATGCTTCCAATGTGGAAAATGTACTATTCCAAGCTTTGGAGGTTTTGTGCAGCTGTTTTCAGAGATCTTTCTAGGGACCTGTAAATTTTCAGTTCTTCCAAGGTGGTATGATCAAGAGTGAAGTGTTTACTCCTTTCCTGGCCTATGCTCTGGTCAATGAGTGACCACAAGCACTCTCTTCTGTCTTGAAACTGTGAGGAAGATTTTCCTCTTCACCACTACAAGCTCCACCACGCTAGCACTCCTCCTCGCCCCAGGAACACCACCCCAAACTGTGACCCAGATCCAAGCATGGACAAAGCAAGAGATTCTGTCTTTTTGTGGGCTGTGCTGCTCTAGAATTTGTTTAGAGCCCTTTTTTACAGGAATTTGGAGGGATTTGGGGAGAGCTCAAACAAGTCACTGCTTTTACTCCACCATATTGGCTCTGCCCCCTATGCCCTCCAGGAGAAAATTTAAAACTCCAAAGGTTCTGGAAGTGAATGCTGAAAACTAAAAATAAATTAATTACAAAAAGAATAAACAAATAAAAAATATTATGCTTCAATTTATACTGTATTAACAATATTATAAACATGAACAATTTTGAAAGCCCTAAAAACTCTGATCAATGCAGTGATCAACCATGATTCCAGGGTACCAATAATAAAGAATGCTACTTATCTCCTAATAGAGAGATAACAGACTAAATATGCAGAATGGGATACATTTTTGGACATGGCCAACATGGGAATTTGCTTTGCTTGACTACACTGAATTCGTTTCTCTTTTTTTTTTCCTTCTTTTTTGCTTTTTGGTGTGGCAATCAGGGTTAAGTGACTTGCCCAGGGTCACACAGCTAGTGTCAAGTGTCTGAGGCTGGATTTGAACTCAGGCCCTCCTGACTCCATAACATCTATTTTTTAGAAGGGTTTTCTTTTTCTTTTCAGGGGAGGTAGGAAGGGGGGAAAAAGCTTGATAATTGGGAAAATACTGTAAATAAAAATTTTAAAATCTATGCTCCTTCTCCTCTCCTTCCCCCTTTTGTAAGAGAGAGAGGGATCTAGACTTATGATTTCATCAGACAGAAAAATCCCCATGAGGAAACTCCTATAGCCAGGGGTGGAGAACCTGCAGCCTCAAGGCCACAGTTCCCCATCCCTGTGACCTACACCAACAGAGGTAACGCAGGTTGGTAACCATTTCATAGCTTATACAATAAGTCTTCGTGTTGCCTGCAACACTGAGATTTTAACTGATTTGCAAAGTCACAGTCAGTGTGCTGCACCCAAGTCTTACTGACTCTCTGAGTAGAGCTCCATATCCACTAAGCCACATTGCTTTCCTTGTGATTCTACCAATAGTAGAAATGGTAGAACTAATTTAGAATATTCTCTGAAGAAAAGATGCATTGTACCAAAGTCTCATAGCTTCAGAGAGCTGCCTATAGAGGTAAAAGAGATCAGTGATTGCTCTAGTAGAATAATATGAGAAAGAAAAGGAAAGAATATAAAGAATCTGTGGTTTAATGTAAGCAAAGTACTGATTTAGAGCTAGAAGCACCCTTTAATAATAGCAAGATCAAAGGTTTGGAATTCAAACCAATGTTACTGTCTAGGAAAAAAAGATCTAAGAAAAATGGTCAAATTTTATCAAAAAGAAAAGGCAAATAGCCGACAAAACTATGTCTCCAGTCATGTGATTTATTTGAATTTCTTTATCAGGATATTTTTTAAAACTTGGAACCATAAATGAAAGAACCTTAATCTTCTCTCTGTTCTCCCCCCAAAACTATACTCCACTGTTAGAGGCAATCTGTAAACAATTTGATCATCTAAAACAAAAACCACATATGAAACACCTTCTTGGACAAACAGAACATATCAACATTACAGAAGGATTATTCTGTAGAGCTACATATTACTCTCTTAAATAATGAATATTTGGAGCAAATTACAGTGGATAAAAGACAAAAACACCACCAATCTAATTCTATTACCTGGACAAGAATATTTATTTATTTTTAAGCCAAAATCCTAAACAAAGATCCTTAACATACCAATGAAGTTATCCCAGGTCTACAAAAATTTATCACATTCTGTTCTGAATATCATTAAGCAATTTATTACTTATCTGAGTACCACTGTCTTAAAGTTAAAATAACCACCTCCTTTTTATTTGCATTTCAAAGTTCCTATCTTTCAAGATGCAGCACAAACACCTTCCTCTGCACAAAGCTTTTTCTGATTCCCTCAACTGCCAGTGTTCTTCTTCCCAAATTATCTTTTACTTCACTGCTTTGTATGTATTTGTATTTATTAACTTTATACTTATGCTGTACGTACAAAAGTACGTATACTTATGGCTTCCCCCATTACAATGTAAGCTCATTTTGACTAGGATTGTTTCAGTCTTTGTATATGTATCTCTAATTACCAGCAATACTGTCAGGCACATGTTGCATCCTTAATAAATAACTGTTGATTAACTCTACAGAAGTTTACTTCCAGCTTATTCAAAAGCTTTAAGTCAGGCATCTGCCATATAATGTGGCTTTGATCAACACTGTCTCAAAACAACATTTTCTGTGTTACTAACAAACAACACACACATCCAAGTCCCTCTGCAGTGTCATCAAACCTGTTTGTAATGTTATCTGTTTAACTGTACACTGACATTTTTTCTGTGAACTTCCTCTACCCTAATCCATATCATAGTTTTGACTTATCATTTTTAAGGATCCAAGGAATATTAGGTAACATATATACGTGGATTCTAAATGATACCCATACAAAATACTTGTCACTCTCTCTAAAGCAGACATTTTCAGGTAAAAGTTCACTTCCATTAAACTGGATGATAGTATGAGAAAGGAATAGCCTTCACCATTAGGCTTTTATATTCTGATACAAATATTTGATAAGATATATATTCTCATGACTACAAATGCACCAAGGAAAGCAAAAAGGGAAAGTATCTATATATACAAAAATATTTATAATAACGTCTATCGTAGCAAAAAACCCAAAAAAACCTGGAAACAAAATTAGTGCCCCTCAACTAGACACCGAATAAACAAATCACGTAACAGAATTATTTTATCACTAAAAAATGATAAAAGACAGATTCAGGAAAAACTTGGCATAACAAAACCTGCATTTTCTTGACTCAGCATTCCTGAGTTCCTTGACTTCTTCCTCTTGTGCAACCTGACTGGCCTTAGCTTCCCTTGGCCTGGGGGCATAAAAGGTCCCAGCATCATATCCTCAGGGACTTGCAGATAAAGAAGGAGAGAAATTCTTTATTTAAGATAAACAGCTGAACAATGAAGAAAACAATCTAGAACATTTTTGTTGCTGCTGTTGTTCAGTAGGATCTGACTCTTCGTGACCCCATTTGGGGTTTTCTTAGCAAAAATACTGGGGTGCTTTGCCATTTCCTTCAGATGAGGAAACTGAGGCTAACAAGGTTAAAGCGACTTGCCAGGGTCACAGAGCTACTAATTGTCTGAAGTTGGATCTGAACTCCAGAAGATAAGTGTTCCTGACTCCAGGACTGTTGCTGTATCCACTGCACCACTTAGCTACCCCTCCCATTCATTTTATAGATGAGGAAACAAGAGGCAAACACAGCTGTTAAGTGTCTGGGCCAGATTTGAGCTCAGGAAGATGAATCTTCCTGACTCTAGGCCCAACATTCCATCCACTGCGCCACATAGCTGCCCACCACCTAGAAAATACAGTACCTTAACTCAGACCTGTACAACTTGGCAGTAGGTAGGGACCAAAATTAAAATAAGCTGAACTTCTTCGGGCTGCAGATAGGTTTTTAGCATCTCACTTTCCAAGTAAAAGTATAATTAATGATTAAACTATTACTCAAAAACACTTTTTTTTCAGGACATAGTCCAGCAACTACAATCAGCACACACTTCTTTACGAAGTAACCTTCAGTAAGACTTCCCAGCAGCAGCAATTTCTTTAGACATCTGAAAACTAACCTTAGCAGCTGCCTCATTTTCTGAGTTTACTTTCTTGAAAAACCACTGTTCCCCACTGAGATTTTTCAACAATTTGGATACTTTAATTTCTTTTTCATTGGTGTCCAATTTGCTTAAGTCAGGACGTTGTATTCCTTCAGAATGGCTATTACTTCTCAGCAAACAAGGCACAATATTTTGTCTCTCACGTAAGTAAACAAGTATCTATTTGTCCACTCCAGATAAATCACTCTATGTTCTGATTCGATCTTCTGTTTCTTTTTATCACCCATTTTACAAAGTCACCCCAAAAACACTGATGTTAGAACCAAAAAAATCTCCACAGCAACTGCTCACATGCAAAGAAATACTGAAATGAGCGTCTGACCTTGGAGAGAGCACCAGACACTCATGTAACTTGGAGGGCAGCTGCGCAGCGAGGGAGGGGCAGAAGCCCTCCTGCTGTCGTTGCTCATTGCATGGCGGGCAATAGCTACATTGGCGAGTGGCTGCACTCACTTTGCTCCCGTACAATGCCAGTTAACGACTGAAAACACTGTGAAAAGATACGAATCTTGCTCCTCTCTGACTAGAGAAAGACTGACAATGGTTGGTTGCTATAGGTCATGCGACAAATAGGAGAGAGTGCGCAGTAGCACCCACCAAGTTTCACGACAGGCACAATAGTGACTAGTGGAAAGCAGCTTAAGTGGGGCACATGGACAAAGAGCTCATTGCATCTTTACTTTCTTTCACATCTTCCACATTTTTTGTGGGCTGCCTGACATCCTTTGCACAGGCCCGCCATAATGAAATTTGATCACAGCCTCACACCAACCATGTTAAACTTAAGAGATATAAATCATCCTCAAAATATCCATACATACACCTACTATTCCTCAAACCATAATAAAATAGATATGTCAAATATTTCAGAACTTGCCTCTTTCTCAGTGTCTCTAGATATACAAGTCCACTGGTTCTCCTTCACGCTGTATGCCCAGAAGTCAGCCAGATCTTGTGTTCCATCCCAGCCACCAAACAAATAAACAGTCTCTATAATAATTAGAAAAATATGTTTTTTTTAAAGACAGACATTGTCAAAGATTACCACCCTCCATTCCTACATTTAGCCAGTAGTTTTGAATACAAAATTAGATACCCAAACATACCTTTGCAGAGCAGATTTTTCAGACTATATTCAGGTCAATATTTACAAATCATAACATTTCCAGCAGATCTATCCATACTTATCAACTTTTTTTTTTAACTCTGTAAGTCTGAATGGCAGTAACATTAGCCCTAAGAGGTTATATCTTTTTTTTTGTTCTTTAGTTTCTTCTTCTACAAAACAAGGAAACTGAACTAGACAACATTTAAAAATCCCTTTGAAAAACTTGGCTTCTAAGGTGTAGCAATAACACATCAAGATAACCATTACTGTGGCAAATTTTACACCATTTCTTGCCACAGAAAACTTAATAAAATAGTGGGGGGGGGGAGAAACTGTCAGATGGTTACAAGAGCTCAGTAGAACTGGAAGGGACCTTAGCTACTGTATCTTGTAACAAACCTTCAATTAAGAGATGAAGAAACAGAGTTGGAGTCACTTGCCTAAAATTGATTTGTTAAATTTGATTTCATTTCTGGTTCTCTGACTAAAAATTCTGGGCTCTTTCTACTACATAAAGTCACAAATATTTTAGGTAACCTTGGGAATATCAAAAAAACATGCATCTCTGGTACAGCCAAAAGATGAGGAAACCAAAATCCCTACAGTGATTTAATTAAATGTTTTGACACTTCAGATGATCTTAGAAATCATTTTAGAAATCATTCCTGGTATCAAAGCATTTGTTCTCTGATTAATCTGCCAAGTATATTGACATATTATGTATTTTATCACACAATTATTTAACTTCTCTGTTGCACAGCTGTTTTGCAGAGAGGGGAATGTGTGCGTGCACACGCGCGCACGCACACACACACACACACACACACACACACACACACGCTCAAGCATGTGTTTTTCAGGGAGAGATGAAAGGTACCAAGAAATATTGATATATCTACACAAAGTAATTCTTAGTAAAGAAAAATTACTTTCCCTTTCCCAAAGCTCTTTCCTGTTTGTAACTTCTGCTTAAGACTTTAAGATTCAGAGAAGGTGCCCATCCACATTGGTAGAGGAAGTTCCTTAACGGGAGCTTCCCCAATATCACATAATCACTAAAAATAAACAAAAAACACCTTTCTTATTTTTTGCTGTTACTACAATTTCCTCAGCTTCATCAGCTTTTTTTTGGGGGGGGGGGCAGGCAAGGGAGGCACTCAGTTAAATGACTTGCCCAGGGTAACACAGCTAATGTTGGAGGCCAGATCTGAACTCAGGTCCTCCTGACTCCAGGGCCAGTGGTCTATTCATTGCACCACCTAGCTGCCCCTTCATCAGCTTTAAAAAAAAAGTTTTTAATAACGTCTTGTTTCTCACATCTTCATAGTTATACCCAGTGTCACTTATTTTTCCCTTGCAGAGAGCAATCTCCTATAACAAACAGTAATTTTAAAAAAGGGGAAAAAAAATCAATACAACTGATCAATGTACTGAAAAAGTATGAAAATAAGGCAACGTCTAACATATGTCAACTCCTCACCATCATGAAGGGCACGTTGAAGGTGTCCTCTCATATCTCTCCATTCAACTCATGCTTGATCTTTATGATTTCAATACATTCACTACTGAATTTTTGGCATTTTGACATTCTTTCCATCTATGTTGCTGTAGTTACTGTGCATGTTGTTTACATGGCTCTATTTACATATAGCTCTTTTACACCACAGTGACATTCCATTACATTTATGTTCCATAATTTAGTCATTCCCTAATTAATGGGCATCTACTTTGTGCCCAAATCTTAGCACAGATAGTGCTGCTATAAAAATTTTAGTGTAAATGGGGACTTTCTTCTTAATTATGGCTTCACTGGTTCTTAACCATGGCCTCTGTGGTTCAAAGGTTATGGACATTTTAGTCACTTTATTTGCATCATTCCAAATTGCTTTCCAAAATGGTTGTGTCATTTCACAGCTTTACCAACAATATATTAGTGTGCCTATTCTTTCACAACCCCCTAACATTGACTACTGCTGTCTTTTGCCATCTTCGAAAATGTTCAAGTTGTGAGATGAAACTTCAGGGTTGTTTTGATTTGCATTTCTTATTATTAGTAATTTTTAGCATTCTTTCATGTTGTTATGAATACTTTGTAATTTTTCTTGAGAACTGTTTCTTCACATTCTTTGACCCGCTTATCTATTTGGGAATGGCTATTAGTCTCTTATACATACATATACATACGTGTATATATAAATAAATTGTTTATAGGTACCAAACTCTTATTAGAAAAATTTCATACAAAAACATTCCCATTCAACCATTTCCTTTCTTATCTTAGGTGCACTGATTTTGTCTATGCAAAAGCTTTTGAGTTGCATATAATTAAAGTTACCTAGCTTATCTTTTGTAATTGCTTCTTCTCTTATTTAGTTAAGAATACAGCTCTAAACCAAAGTTGTGAGAGCTATATGATCTACTTCTCTCTGTATTTTTAAAAATTATTTTTAATATTAAGGTCATGCATCTATTTAGAATGTATTGTGGAATATGGTATAAGGTGCTGGTCTAATTTCTGCCAAAAAGCTTTCCAGTTTTTCCAGTAGTTTTTATCAGATAACTAGTTTTTTCTTAATTAATTTATATTTTCCACTTTAGCAAACACTGGTTTCCACTGTTTCTGATTCTCCCTTATCTAGTGTGTGCCATTTTTTTAAACTAATCAGATGGTTCTGATGACTTTTTTTTATAATCATCCCTATCTCTTTTCATCATCTCCCATATATTCTGGATCTTTTGTTTTTCCAAATGAATTTGGTCATTTTATCATCCTCAATAATGTGATTAGTATAACATTAAAAAAGGGATTAACTTTAGTAGCAATGTCACTTTCATTATATTGACACAACCTAGCTATGAGCACTAGATATTTCTCCAGCTATCAAAGTTGTTCTTTATTTCTTTAAGGAGTACTTTGTAACTGAATCTACATAAGCCTTTTTTTGTTTGCTTGTTTGTTTGGGTAGATTGATCCCCAGATATTTTAAGTATTTTGTAGTTATTTGGAATTGGATTCCCCCCGTCTCTTTTTATTTTATCCTTGGGTTCTGTTATTATTATGTAGAAATGCTGTTGATCTTTGAGGATTAATTTTGTAGCACTATAATTTTTGTAAACGTTAAACATGGTGCTGAAAAACATGCATTCTTTGGTAGTCTTACTTAAAAGCCATCATAAGTCTTTTTAACTCTAGTTACTCCAGTAATTCTTTCAGCTTCATATTTTCTTTTTTGTTCATCTTTCTTTTTGACTTAATCCAAAACTAAGAGAAGGATAAAGAGCAAGTAAGCAGGATATGATAGAAAGCACCCTGGGATTTCCTGATGACTATTAAAAAAGCTTGGGAATTTTGATGGACTGCAAGCCAACATGAGTCAAATTGCTACAACTAGTGAACTCAATCAATAAGCATTTATTATGCACCTATTATGTGTTTGAGATGCCTACATACAGTTGGAAATTTTCAATGAGCAGCTGAAGCTGAATATTCATCCACCCCAAATATCCAGCCTTTTGTTCTGTTGTCCACATAAACCATTCCTTCTCTGCTCCCCACGTTCAACTCTCATCCTGAGCTGCTTTCCATCTCTTCCTCCGGGAAAAGGAATCAGTTCAATATATACTACCAGCACTTTTGAAAATAGTACGGTTCCACTCACCATTCCTGTGATTCACTAGAACAAAATTCCCTTTACTGGACACTAATTCTCTAAACACATTATCTTCCCACATGGGATGTAAGGTCCTAGAGAGCAAAGACTATTCCATTTTTTAATAACTCAATCTCAGCACCTGGAATACTGCCTGAAAGAGAAAAGGTATATAATAAGACCCTTTTTCAATAATCCATATATCAGTCTGAAAGTCAACTATATAGAGATGATAGCCAATCCCATTGGAGCTTATGAGATTAAGAAAATATATGGAAGGAAATGAACATTTATTAAGTGCCTACTATGTGCCAGGCACTGTCCTAAGCACTGGGGAAACAAATGCAAGCAAAAAGTAGTCAATCCCTGCCTTCAAGGAAATTCCATTTTAATGGGGGGAAAACAACAAACAAAGAAGCTGAAGGAGGTCAAGGGAAAATGATGCTTTTGAGGTCCAGCAAGTCAGGAACAAGGCCAGGAGTACAACAAAGGCAGACCAGCCTTGGCTCCTCCACAAAATGAAGCCTCCAACAAGAACTCCCCTGTTGAAAAGGGGAGCAGGCCTTACAGAGAGATGAGGGTGAAGAGGCTCCAGGCACTGAGAGAAATTACAGGATGAGGCAGAACTTGAGGAGGCATGATTTTGAAGACCAAAGAAAGTCAGGCTTACTGAGTTTTACTTTCTTTATTTGTAAAAAATGAGGGTGTTGAATTAGATGATCTCTAACATATCTTCTATTTCTACTATTCTAAAACACTTCCATATTCCACAGGTGTCCTAACCAATTTGCTCTAAGAAAGAATTATCACACACCACCAGCATATAGAAATTTTACACTGCCTAGGTTTCCACTAACACAACTTTATATTCTTATTCCTCTGGATACCTTTATCAAGTGTCCTTGACCAGTGAAGGCAAAAAAGCTTAAAGACAAGAAATGGCAATGGTCATCACAGATAGATTTTTAATGGTCAAGTATTATCAGTTTTCTCAAATGTTTTTGAAATGTCTACCTAGAATATAAATCCAGCACGTAGGAATTGTGTTTAATTCTATATCAAATACTGAACCTAGAACCTTTAAATGCTAGAACCTAATAAATACTGAACACTGATAATTTTTTCAATTACCAAAATAATCATATTTCAGACCTTAAAAATATACTTTTTCTATTAGGTAAGTGACATTTAAAAGAATTCCAGAACATCAAGAATGTTACAGAACTTTTCTT